CTAGCCTTAATTACTAGTAATAAGGGTACTAATTAAACTAGCCGCTTTTAATAGTACCTTTATAAGCTACTTTAAGTTACTTAGTTACTAAGCACGGCTTACTACTTATAGACTAATAAGGGGCCTAAACGCCTTAACTAAGAAGTATAAGCTTACCTTTAATAAGTAATATCCTATAACTAAGTAGACTAAGATAAATAGCTTCCTATAGCTTAGATAGCGCTTAATAGTAAGTCGAACTCCTTTATTAATATATCTCCCTTTCTTATACTATATAGGTTTAAACCGCCGTTAGCATAGCCTATTACTATAGATATAAGCGTAGAGCGCTACCTAGCTAGCTCCTTAGAGGGTAGGGCGTCTGCCTTTATATAGAAGCTATAATAAGCTATAGAGTTCTACTAATCCTTAATAGTATCTACCGCCTAAAACTAAGAGCGGTAGGCTAATAAGTTAAGGGATCCTATAAATAGGTTCGCGGTAAAGGATAAGGTCTAGCTAGACCTCTATAACTATAGGTTAATAAAGCTAAAGAAAAAGCTTAACTAGCTATACGCTAAGTATATAGTAAAAAGGGTGCTAAGTCTATAAACTATAGAGCTAAAAGGGCTACCCTTTAGTATCTATAGTATAATTAACGTTAACTTTTTTTATCGCGCCGCTATAGACCCCTTATTAAGCTAAGAGATAATAGATCCCTAACTAGCCGCTATCCTTATTAAGGGAAAAGAGGAGTTCTTAGTAAAAGAGTTATAAGTAGCCCGTTAAAAGAATATAGGCTATAGTAGGAAGCGTAAAGTCCTTATTAAGTAGTATAGCTATTAAGACCTAACGTAAAAGCTTGCTTTTAAGTTTAAAGGTATAATAGCTCTAGATAAGTTTAAGGCCCTTTATAAGCTAGTAAAAGAAAATAACGGCCTAGCGAGAGAAGCTACCCCCTTAGCGGTAAAGCGGCTAGTACTTTAAAACGTAGGGGAGACTATACCCCGCCCTTAAGGAAGCGGCGGGCTACTAAGCCCGCGGCGGTCGCTATACTAATATAAGCTATAAGTATATATTATAAATACCGCGACTATAAATAATAAATAAAGCATACTTAGGTCGGTAGTAGTATAAATAAATTATATTAGCCCTTATAAGCGCGCTTAAAGGTATATAGACTAAGCTTAATAGGCCTTCTTCTTTAGTAAGGTCTTAACTATTAAATAGTTATCCTTATCCTCCTCTTTATCCTCCTTCTTATCCTCCTCCTTAGTATAAGGCGCGGCCTTAGCTTTAAGGGTATAAATCTAGCCCTCTAGGCTACCTAGCTAAGCAGCGATAGCGGCGGCGTTAAGGATAGCGGCGGCGGCGGCGGTGCTAGTAGTAGTAGAGGCGGCGGCGGTAGAGGTAGCGGGGGCGGCTAAGGCGGCGGCAACGGTGCCCCTAAGAGAGAGAGAGTTAGCGCCGTAAGGAGTATAGGAAAAAGAGCTTACGTACTTAGGTATAAGGGCGGCGCGCTTAAGGAACTATAAATTACGGTAGGCGGCGTCGGCAGCGGTTAAGGCGCGCTTAGCCTTATTTTAGTCCTTACCTAGCTCTATAGCGCTATAAGCTATAGTAGTATAAGTAAGAAGGGGCGGCGTAACCTTATAGGCACGGCTAGCCCGGGCGTATAAAAAGCAGCTACCTTAAGGGCGGCTAGCTTAGTTAGCGTAGGGAAGGGACTATAAGGTATACTATATATAAGAGGAACCTTAGGTAGCGCCCTAGGTTATAGCGCGCTTATATTAGTATATAGAGTTAGTAATACTCGCGAGAATAAGGGCGGAGGGGCTTATAGAGGAGGGCGGCGAGGACCCGCGCTTATTATTATTATTATTATCGTTATCGTTATCGTTATCGCGGCGGCCGGTAGCAGAGAGCGTAGTAGGGGCGGCGGCGGCGCGGGTAGTAAAGTTAACGGCCGAGAAGCTAGGCAGCGGGTAGCGTAGAGCGGCGGCAGGCGCGACTAGGGCGGCGGGGGTAGTAGGTAGGGTAGCGGGCAAGGCGAGGGCGCGATCGACGAAGTCGTCGATCTTAGCGAAGAAGTAAGATAAGGCGGGGGAGGATATATTAAATTATTTAAATAACTAGCGGGGGTATAGGTTAGCTTATATATAGGCGGTAGCGTATAGCTAGGCGCTAAGCGACTTATAGTTATAGTTATAGCTACTATTACTAATACTAATAATAATAGTATAGTAAAGAGGAAAGAGCGATAAGGGCGCGCTAGTAAGTTATTTACCTCTTAGCCGCGCGCTGAGGTATAGGATTAATATTATAAGGGACCGCTTAAAGAGAGAGGGGCGGGGACCTTATATAAGGGTATTTACCCTTAGTATAGGTCTAGGTATTAGCTTAGACCTTAGCCGATAGCGTTACGGGGTAAGGTAGGGCGTATATATAAACGCGTATTTAGTAGCGGTAGGCGCGGCGTATAGTTAGATCTATATAGCTTATTATTATAATATAATAAAAGGCACCTATAGTATAACCCTCTGCCTACCCTATAATACCTCCTTTATCTTAATAGATAGACTAAGATATATATTACTAAATTTACCTTTCTATGCCCTTAGTTCTTTTATTATACTCTTAAGCCCTTGCTTAAGAGATCGACTCGATAGAGTATACTACACTATCTTGGCTTCTATAGTACGTAGCCCCCTTTACCGTCGACTATGCTCTCGAACCTTTATTCGAGAACCTCTCCTTAACCGAAGCTCGTAAGGGCAGCGCGAAGTCGCCCTTTAGGTAAAATTCAGATTCCTTAGTGTTGTTCCTTAGCCCGTGCCCCCCTAATCCTGCCTGGCGCACGACTGTGCTCTTGCGCACCGAAATCAGCCTCATCCCTCTGCCTGGTGAGAGGCCTTGCGCATAGTGCTCTGGCTGTCCTAGCCATACTGAATTGCCGCTTTTTCCGTTATCATTGCCTTTGCCTGCATCTCGACATCTCGCTTAGGAGACTGATTCGCACCTGGGTGCAGTTAAGGAGCTGCTCTATCATCCACAGCTTGTAACACTCCTAGCGACGCAGCTTCCCCACAGCCACATGCCTGCCACTCTTAAGACGGAGGTCATTCTAGCGTTCCTTGGCTTCCTTTGGCTTGTGTTCACCAGCGAGAAAGGGTCTGGAAAGTGGCTCGCTGGATTTTAACACGTTGACGATGGAGCTACGCCTCCCGACTCTAGGCTTGTTGAACGGTGCTGGTTTTATATAAGCTCCAACTATGATGCCGCCCAGATCATGAAATGGGCAAGAAATGGGAGAAAAGCAGGTGGTCTTCTGTTTATAAGCTATTTCTGTATCACCTTGCCCCAGTCTGCTGGCCTGGAGGCGACAGAGCGGCCTGGCGCAAGCCGTTTCCAGTAGTACCAGTCAGCAGCCGCGGGGACAGGACCAACAACTTGCCCGATCCGATGAGGAGAGAAGACCATGGCAACCCTGATGTCGTAGCGCGCGGCAGCCGATCCATATACGTTTAGACTCAAGCGCAGACGAGACGCTGTCGGATAATTGGGGGCCGGTCGGAACTTCGGAAGCTGTTGGCGACCATAGGGGAAGCAGCGCCATGAGCTCCTACTCAAAGAGGTCTAGATAATGCACCAGGATTTAACAAAGGATAAGGGATAGCTCTAACCGTCGCTTCCAGACCTATCTTAAGCCTCTCGAGGCAATGATCCGACGGTAGGCAGCCCTGGCCAGGTCTAAGACGGAACGGCCTAGGCCAGAGATAGTTTGTAGAGGGACCACGGCACTAGCTTCCTAGTGACAGGATCGGAGATAGTTTCTCAGAGGCAGGCACAACCAATACGTAGAAGAAAAATCAGGAAATAGGCAGGCGGAATCTAGTTCATCTAGGGAGAACTTCACGTCAGCCCGACTAGTTACGGGGGCGGTCTGGCTTCTGCTTCTACATCAGCATGCATGGCTATAGCTGGAAAACATAGGCAATGGACGTATGGATTAGACCGCAAAGGCTTATCAACCTACAACATTGCTCTGCTACTCCGTATCTTAGTGAGTATACTGTTAGTTAGGCCAGTAGCCTAAACAGGCTAAATATGAGGCTGCTCTACCTTCCCATTCTCCTCTAGGCAATAGGAACAATGTCTTGTCATCTTTAGCGCGTTATGGACTACACTAGTCTTCAAACCAGCTGCTTCTTGTCAGCTGGTCGGCTCTATGCCTTTGTAACGTAGCAGGAGACACTTCGGAAGCCCGGCAATTCCGTCAGGGGTATCTTGTAGAATGTGCCATTGGCTACCCCAACTTGAGCAGCCACTTAGGTACCTAATGTCGGATACGCGGCATCGTAGCCCTACAGTGGTTGCTGCCTCCGCACCCTGGTAACTTGCCCAATTCAGGGCAAGATCTTCATCGACTGGCGGTATGAGGCGCATATTTAGCTTCGTAGCCAACGACACGTGCGGTCTTTCCGGTTTATGCGACTGTTCGACCACGCTCCAAGTATGACTTCCTGTAATAGGCATAATCGAAGAAAACCGCTATTATCGCGGATACTCTCGACTTGATTCTCATGAGTTCCACGGCCGCCACGTATGAAGTCCGGAGTTGTTTAGAAAAGAGGAAGGTGGTTCCGCCTTGAGGGTGTCCTCGCTGCCATAGCATTCATCAATCTAGCCTGTTCACGCTCCACCTCCAAGAGACTTCACTGATGTGGACAATTTTCCAGCGAGTATTAGCTGCCCTGATGATGCGCAGCACATGTGTCTAGAGAATCCCACCTGCGATAGAGAGAATAGCTTAGGATGGTTCCACTTAGGTATTGACTTATGCGTAGAATCCGTTACAAGCGGCTTCGGACACATGCAAACAGAGACGTCTATAAGAAGTCAGTGGTGCCTCATTCTCCATCTAAATGGATTTCAGACACTCGCCTTCAACATTCCACACTAAGGGAAAAAAAAGCCCCTCGAAAACCCGATTGCCTCTCTTCACCACAACTGCAGTCACTATGAAATACGCAACCACTCTTGCAGCTGTTTTCGGCGTCGCTGCCGCCCTTCCGGGGCCCTCTGAGGTCAGAGAAGCACGGCGTGCTACTCGCCGAGACGCCACGCGGGTTCCCAAGGGCCCCGGGTTTAACATGAGGAACAATAGCTACCCTCAATATTCGAACAATTGGGCCGGAGCCGTTCAAATCGGCAATGGATTCAACAAGGTTGAGGGAACCGTCACCGTCCCCCAGGTTAGCGGCGACGCTACCGCCGCCGCTGCTGCGTGGGTCGGAATTGATGGCGACACCTGTCAGTCCGCCATCCTCCAGACCGGTGTGTCTTTCTACGGCGACGGCTCCTTCGACTCGTGGTATGAGTGGATCCCCGACTATTCCCACAGCTTCACCGGATTCGACATCAGCGTTGGCGACCAGATCAAGATGTCTGTTGACGCTTCGTCCATGACGGGCGGTGTTGCGGTTCTTGAAAACCTGTCCAACGGACAGAAGGTCTCCCACACCTTCACCAATTCGCCATCGAGTCTCTGCGAGACCAATGCCGAGTGGATCGTGGAAGACTTCCAGTCTAGCGGCCAACTTGTCCCTTTGGTTGACTTTGGCACTGTCACCTTCACCGATGCCTCTGCGTCCGGCTCTGGGGGGACGGTCACCCCCGACGGCGCCACCATTATCGATATCAAGGACCAGAGCGGCAACGTCCTGACGAACTGTGACACGTCCGGAAATGACGTGGTCTGTCAGTACACCGGTAGCTAGTAGATAGCGTCCCGAAATGGGAATGTCAAGATGTAATTGTACGCTATCTTTCTATGCAAGGTTCTAAACCACCTCAATTCGATCAACGAAAAGACAATAGCAAAACAACGACACGATCTTATGGTTGAATGGGGTATCAGCGATCAAGTTTAGTGTTTATAGGTAAAGAGTTCGAAAATAACTACTCTATACCCGGTCTCGCACTTCGCGCGTGCTTATGCAAGACAGGTCGGCACGCATCCGCTATCAAGATATCGCAACGAATTCATCGCCTCTCCAGTGCGGGCTGCCACAGGGATCGCCAGTCTCGCCGATCCTCTTCCTACTGTATACGGAACCAATCTACCGCTTGGGCAGCTCAAAAGGGCGTTTCGGCTATGCGGACGACACTGCCATCCTTTGCGTCGGCGATAGCCTGGATGAGACGTCCGCCGAAGCATCTCATCATGTGCGTGAGCTTGTATCGTGGGCGCCGCCAACGGATCTCCTTCGACCCTGAGAAGACAGAAGTGATGCACTTCTCTCGAACGACGCCCAAGACGGCGCCGCCAGTGCTCCATGGCGAATTTGAGAAACGGCCGGGCCGGGCGATGCGTTGGCTCGGCGTCTGGCTCGACAGCACTCTGTCTTTCAAGACTCATGTCGAGAAATGGACGGCCAGCGCAAGCAGTCGCCTTCCATCTCAGGAGACTGACAAACACCAGGCATGGTCCTCTACCGAGCGCTGTGCGACGAGCGGTCTGCGCTTGCGTCATTCCAGTGCTGCTCTACGCGGCGGAGGTCTGGTATCCTGGTTCTACGCGCCCGCGCTGGACCAAGCCGGGCAAGGAAGGACCGTCCAGGATCGGACACCTCGTAAAGAAGATGAGCAAGGCACTCTACACATCTCTTCGGGCTATCCTGCCAGTGTGGAGAACTACACCAACGAATGTTCTGCACCGGGAGGCAGGGATACCGCCGGTCCCTCTGCTGCTCGAGGCGCGCCGGACTGCATTTGCTGCGCGTCTCAAATCCCTGGACGAAGCTCATCCGCTCGTGAAGCGCACGTCGAGGCCAAAAGCCCTATACTGAATGAAATGATCAAGCTGAAGTACCAAAAGCAGCCAAAACCCTTCCGGACTAGGCTGCGGCGCTCCGACGAATTGCTACCAAGCTGCCCAAGGCCTGCCTTGCTGCAGCGCGGATTTGTCGAAGAGCAGACTGCGCCTCTGCAGAGTGCATCGAAAATGAGACGGCGAAGAAATTTCGCGATTGGCTCCAGGCACTATCGCCCCGAACTCTGGTCGTCTATTCCGACGGGTCCCGTTCTACCGAAGGCCACGCCGGATATGGCTATGTTGTTCATCGGGACGGATCCACCGTCTTGCGCGACAAGGGCCGTCTCGGGCCCGCCGAGATTTTCGACGCTGAGGCGAAAGGTGCGTTGGAGGGGTTGAAGGCTGCGGTGAGCCTTCCAGAAACTGACCGCATCTTTGTCTGCCTCGACAACCTCGCGACCGCAACATGCTTACGGGGCACGCCGAGCGACTCCTCGCAAGAGGTCTTCCTTGAGTTTCAATCTTTGGCGCGAAAATACGGAGCTGTGGAGGTCCATTGGATCCCCGGCCATGCTGACATCCCAGGCAACGAGGAGGCTGATGCTCTGGCAAAGGCGGGAGCATCACTGCCAGAACCCGCTGATAACGTCCCGACGCTAGCGCACCTGCGAAAGATTGCCCGACAGCAGCCGGAAGAGGCTTTCAAGGCCTGGTGGGAAGCCTCTGCGCCGGAGCGATACAGAGACCTGAGGCTTAAAGCCACAACCAGCTGCCCGTCAGAATTGGCGCTCTCGGCCCCTGCTTCGTAACTTGCTTGCAGCAAGAACCCACCATGGGGATTTTGCTGACTACCACGAAAGGTTTGGTCACGACAATGCGCGACTGACGTGCTCGTGCGGAAGACGAAAAGAGCCAGCACACATCTTTTACTGCAGAAAGGTTGCGCCACGGCATCGTATGCGGCTTGCACCTTGGCCGGCTGCAGCCATCAACCGCGCAATCGGCAAGGACTTTGACAAATTCGTCAGGCTGGCGAAAGCGAGCTCCTTCTTCGGAGGATCTGCCCACGCCACTAGACGGTCATCATTCTCCTCTCACCCTACCTTTTCCTCTCAATCCTTTCTGTTACCTGCTCCGATCTCGGGCGGCGTCAAGGTCTCGCGACCATGCGATCGCCGAGGTCATCAAGGGCTGCAAGGCCCCAGAAGCAAATTGGCTGATCTGACCACGGGACAGCTTTCTCTTCATGCCTGGACGTCCCGCTGACGGGCAACAGGTTTGTCATGAGCGCCGTTGAGCCGATGAAATGCTGGATAGTGGGTGAAGTGTACGATATGTAGCATGTAGACACCTGCTAGCTCAGCACGTCCTGTGCTCCCCTGCGGAGACCTGAGCGACCAAAAGTTGCTGGACGGAAAATACACTAAACTAAACTAAACTAAACTAAACTAAACGTGCTCCACCGTTTCCCAACCCATATCGACACGTAATGCCAGCCTTGTGCTATTCACGGCTTGTTATCTGATAGCATAGTGGTATCAAAAAATGCTCCCTTTGAAAATACATCACTTCAGGTGTGGCTGTTTCCTCAATTTTCGCAATTACCGGCTGGACTACTCCGTAGTAAGAGTGCCGGTCCGGGATTATGCTGGGACCCCGCCATTGCGACTACAAGCTGAGGCAGACTGACAACGGCAGGACACCCCAATAGCAGCATGTTCTCCCAGCCAATATGAGACTACCGCCTGTCCTCGGCGACCGACACATGGGCACCCGGGTGCCCATTTAGACGGCGCACCCAGGTGATTAGAATTAGAGATGGAATCGTGATAGAAATCTGTGGGTTGAAAGCTGGAGAGCTATCTATCTAAAGGAGTGAAGTGGGTGGCTATATATACCCGTTGGTTTTCTATCGTAAAGATATTGCTCATCGTGTTCAGCCTGCTCAGTGCCGATCCGCCCAATCTGACTGATCCAACTGATCCCATCACGTGCCCTTCATGTCAACGGATCTTCCGTGGTCCGTAGCACCTGGCGTCCTGCGCTTCGGCCATGCGGCCTGCATTCTGACCGTCTTCCCTTCACGGCTGGCTGGTTCATAACAAGCCCTTACTTAAAACCAGCCTACTTTTTTATATGCTAGATAGTTAAAGCTATATATCAGATAGGTAGAGCCTACCTTTGCCTAATAGTACCGCCCCGATACTATATAACTGGAACCATGCATTATTGTTTAATCTAATAATAGCTACCCTCTCTAATTCTTGACGCAGAGGGATTCCATCATGATATCGTAATTCGTAACTTCCACGCGTGACTATACCGCGGGAAATATAAAAGGAACCGAAAAAGATTCCAGGTTCCAGGCTTAGCCATACGAGGCCGTCGGTGCCATACCATCGATCATCATCTAAAACAAGGCGTCACGGCGAACCGTTTCCTGCAGGCGCCTAGAAGTTACAAGCATCCTGCTCCTGGAGCCCCGCCTCTTCAATCAGCTCCTCGCCACGACGCATCCAATCGGCAAAAGCCTTGAGGCTGTCTACTTGATAGAGCGTCTCGCTGACGGCTTGTCGTGTGCCCGCATACCAGTGGAGCCTATCACCAAAGGCGGCTTCGTCGACCCCCGGGCGCCTCCACCTAGGATTCTGACGTGCGTGGTAGAGGCAAAAGTAGAGTTTCTTGCAGAGGCTCCTGTCTCTCTCGATGCGCGACAAGAGTACGCTGGCCTCCCTCTGGCGTCCAAGTAAGTATAGGCCGATCCGGCGGCGGCTATCGAGGCCTATGCGCCACCGGAGCGCAAAGAGCTGCTCCACAAAGTGGCCTATAGTTTCGGTCGAGATATCCCTAGGCTTAGGCAGATGTTTGTGGAGGTAAGTAAAGGCGGCGTGCTCGATTTGCCGGCCGAATATAAGTGATAGGACGTGCGCCAACAATAAAACGACCTCGTCTAGAGAGCGTTCGGCGATGCCGTCGCCGTTGACGAGACTATATGTGACCGGAGCAGGCGTATCGTCGAACTTGGCCAGCAGGCAGAGCGCGTCGTTAAGGTGATCATCTCTAGGCCGGACATAGAGAATATAGTCGCTCCTTTGCATCTGCTCACGGATAAAGCGCTCGAGTAAGCAGTGCGTCGATAGGCGTCGGATAGCCTCGGAGAGAAACGTATGGCATAGATCAAGGACTAAATCATATAAGTGCTGCTCTTCCCGAACCGCCCGGACGACGCAGGACCGGCTAAGCTCGTCGATGTGGCCTAATATCTAGCTAGGTGTAATGGCTTGCTAAGTTTGGTCGTTTAGTAGACGGCGGCTAATGCTATAGTGCTCTGCACGGTACCGAGTAAGAATAGGGCAACCTAAAGTAAGAGCGAGAGGAATCGGCTAAGGGGCGAGAGAGGAAAGGGGATTACGCAATAGTTGTAGTACCTATAAAGCGGGTGCTGCTATCTCTTACTAGGTCTATAAAGTAGAAGGCGATGTAGGACGATGCCTTGCCACGGTTCTCGCATCTTTGACACCACTCAGCCCCGACGACGGGTTTACACTGCCAAAAATCAGCCAAGTTGAACGCGGTTGGCGACAAGGTGCAGACGAGGGGGCAATACTCACAGCAACGCCATTTAGCTTGCACCAAATACACACGCCCTTGCCATCCCTCCTGTTCTTGGCGTTATCCCTAGCACTCGGAAGCAGAGCCCCGCTGCGCCTGCCTCTCTGACCAAGAGCGGAAGGGGTAGGATGCGGCTGACGGGACCAATTCTCGCTTGGGAGCGGCATGTGAACGTTCTGGAAGCCGCCGGGCCTGTCCACCGATTGTTGCCGAGTCGGGATCAGGGCTTGAGGGACGCTGCTGAACGGAGGGACACCTTGGTCGAAGATGCTGGCAAGATTGCGCGGCACTGTATAGTCGACCTAGCCCGCAAGATCGATTGGGGGCTGCTGGCTGGAGTAAGGCAATGCCGCGGCCGGCGCCACCAGAGCGAGGCTGGCGATCGAGGCATCCGGATAACGCGCCTGTTCGGAAGTCGGAACCGGGGCGGTAGGGGGGTTCGACGGCCTAGGACAATGACACGGAGCAGAGACGCAGAGCGGCAATGAATTTCCGTGATATGGGCATGGCGGAGGGTAAGATACAGACACGGGTTCGACATACGTGCCAAGGTATGGTTGTTGTAGCAGCTGCCCGTGAGAGGGCTGGCTTACCCTTGGATCCTTAGCCTGGCCAACCGGGGTTTCGAAGACCGGTTGGAGATGTAAAGGGACATTGCCGTTGGCACCAGGTAGATGTCCTGGGATTTCGCCGCTATGGTATCGATATCCCCGGTTGTTAGCATGAAGGGTCGAGGGCGAAGCCAACACCGGCTGCTGCCGCTAGGCGAATTGAGGCTCCGGGCTGGAGTGGGTCAGGGTCTGGTCAGTCGACGAGCCCAGGGGTGAGGCCCGCGGGGAGCTGAAGGCAGTGGGGTAGTTCATGGGGTTCAATAGCCTAGAAGAGAGTCAGCACCGTGTAAACGGGCAGGGCGGTGAACCAGGCTCGAACAAGGAGTCTTGGCCGTATAACAGGCTGGGAGCCGGTGCCACGGATGCCCCTTGAACGGAGGGGGCTCGGGCATGGCCTTAAAGGTAGGTCGAGGGGGCTCGGGCGTGGCCTGGAAGGTAGGCCGAGGGGGCGTCGTGATATGCACCGTCATGCATGTCGAGGGAGAGAGAAGAGGGCCAGATGTAGGTCGACGAGTAAAGCCGTGTATGCGTTGGAATCAAGGCCTTGTCCGTGTCGAGAGTTGAGCTGTTTTACGACAAAAGTATAGGTTCACCGCAAATGTGCTTCCGTTTTTAGAGGAAGTGCTTCCACTTCTGGAGGATGGGCTGCCCTTTTCGGAGGACATTTTGCGAAGCGCCGGTGGCGGGGCGTGCGCTATTCGTCTCTACCCCTCCGCTATAGCTTTCGAGGTGCCTCACCATCCCCGCCCCCTACCGACCCCTTAATTAAACCGTAGTATATTTATTTTAATAGCGTAAGAATATATTAATTAATAGGCAATATACTATTCGGCCACGAACCTTTACTCTATTCTCTAGAAGCTCTAAGATATATAAGAGCAAAGTATAGCGGTATTAAAAAGCTTACCGCGAGCTTAGCACTCGCTCGCCTACTACTGTCGCGAAGCGTGGCCTGATTTCGCGGTTCTCGGAGATATCCCTTGGCACGAGGGACCTAGGAAGCTAAAAAAACAGGTTTTAAGGAAGGAGCTAAAAGGAGGTGTAGAGAGGAGGGTAGGGGCAAGAGGGGAAGTAGAAGTAGCGATAGCTTCCTATAGAGGTAGCGAGAGATAAGACGGATATGCCGGCAACGGCTAGAAAGGAGGGGAAAAACCGGTAAAAAGCTCGGTAGTTAAAAGGATATTAGTAGCTTCTTTAAGTAAGATCTTCTTTATTAATTAAGATACTAGATAGGTATAAAGAGGGGCGTTAGATAGAGGAAAGAAGGAGAATTAAGGCAATATAATAATTATTCCCCTACCGTAATTACTGCCCCTATAAGAATTAAATATCTCTGCCCTGCCTATCCGACCCCTTACTTTTAATATTACCTTCGTGCTTTTTATATACTTCTTATATCTCTCTTTATAAGAACTACCGGTCGAAGCGTAAGCGACTCTAAAAATATAGGGCTATTAAAAAGTAGTACGCTAAGATAACGAAGGTTAATATATATAGAGTAAAATAGAAATAAATAAGGTAAGCGACCTTTTTATTATTTAAGTAATAAGCTAATAAGACTAAATACTATATATACTTATTAGTTAATCTACTTAGTTATCTTATAAAATCGATAAAGGACGATATTATAAAATTTTTAAAGTAGATACTTAACTTATATTAAAGGATTTATAAGAAAAGTACTATATATACCTATAAAAGAATTCTTTTTTAAGTATACTAAAAGTTTATAAGAGTTAATTTTAGTAAGTAAGTAAATAAATAGATTAATAATATAAGTTTTATCTTAATTATAAAAGTTTATATCTTATAGGATTAGCTTACTACTTAATAGTATATTAATAGGTATCTAACTATTTATTATACGCTTAATATATTATTATTAAGATTATACTAGTAACCTATCTAGAGGTATCTAGAACTTCGACGTTAAATAGGAGGGAAAAACTACAGTGCCTAGAGGAAAACCCTCCCCTCTTTTATAGCTAGTCCGCCCTTATACCGGGTCGCGGTTATAATATATAGGAATCTTACGCCGGCTATCTTAGGTATCGTTATAGTTAGTCGGAATCGTATTAGCCCCGCTATAAAGTAACCTTAGAAAGTAACTCCTTTATATACGCGGGGTATATAGTATTAATCGGTAGTACGAGCGTTTTCTAGTTTACGGTTAATAGTTAATTATATAATTATCTCCGACCTTATTCTATAACGATATCTTCCTAGGCTCTACCTTATTTTTCTACTATAAGGCTTAGCGGGCTATTTTTATTAATGCTAGCCTTTAGCTAGGCCGGTAGTTAGGTTATCGCACCGGCTTCGCGCCGTACTTATTAAGTTACTAGTATCGGCCCTAGGTTTTTATTTTCCCGGTTAGGGGGCCTAGACCGGGGTTAGGGGGGAGGTCCTAATAAATTCGTCGCTAGGTCTAGGTAGGCGAGGTCCGGGCCGGCCTACTTATAGTAGGGCTAGACTGCTAGTATATTTATAAGCGCTTTTAGAAGCGCTAATTAGCTAATTAATAAGTAGGTTAGCGTAGTCTACTAGTCTAACTAAAAATTAATCGTGCCCCTAGCCGGATTTAAACTAACTCTAGCGTTATAGCTAGTAGGCTTCCTAGGTATATAACTACTATACTATAAGGGTAAAGCTTAATATATTAGTAAATAAGAAGCTTATTATAGATATTAAAGATATATATCTTATATAGTACTATTATTAGGTCTATAATACTTTAGTTTTCTTTAATAAGCGCTAGTATATATAGTTAGCTTTCTTAATTTTACTTTAAGTATATATAGCTATATATCCTAGAATACTTATATATAGGCGTCTTAATATAAACGCTATTAATAACTACTACTTTAGCTATAAAGATAAAGCGACTTAGGTAGACTATATAGATAAATTTAGCTTAAAAGAGGATAATTTTAAGATAATTTACTATAAGGACGTTTAGCTACTCCTCCTTAAGAACCTAGATAAATAAAGAGATCTTTTAATTATAGATATAACGCTTAGGTTTATAAAAGGCTAGGTAGGAGTAAAGAGAGAACCTATAAGTAACTCCTTAGCACTTATACTAGCCTTAGCTTATACTAGGTTCCTAGGAAAACCTTTATCTTTTATAAGGTTAACGACTTATTATTTAATACTATACTTTATCTTTTAGCCCTTATACTTCTTAACTAAGTATTTAAAGCGAATATCTAAAAAGTAAACGACTTCTATTAAATTAAAGTCCTATCTTATAATATTCTTTAAAGTTTTATTAGTAAAAGAGTATAAGAGATATACCGATATTTTACTAAGCTATATTAATAAACGTTAAAGTAGTTTATACGTTTAATACTAAGGCGCTCTATTAATATACCTACCTTTACTATTTATAAAGACTAAGACTTATAATTCTTATAAAGAGAAATATAAGAAGTATATAAAAATATATAAAGGTAAAATTAAAAGTAAGGGGTCGGATAGGTAAGGTAGAGAGATTTAATTCTTATAGGAGCAGTAATAAAGGTAGGGGAGTAATTATTATATTGCCTTAATTTTTCTTCTTTCCTTTATCTAACGCCCCTCTTTATACCTATTTAGTATCTTAATTAATAAAGAAGATCCTACTTAAAGAAGCTACTAATATCCTCTCGACTACTAAGCTTTTTACTAGTTTTTCCCCTCCTTTCTAGCCGTTGCCGGTATATCCGTCTTATCTTTCGCTACCTCTATAAGAAACTATCGCTACTTCTACTTCCCCTCTTACCCCTACCCTCCTCTTTATACCTCCTTTTAGCTCCTTCCTTAAAACCTGTTTTTTAGCTTCCTAGGTCCCTCGTGCTAAGGGATATCTCTAAGAACTACGAAATTAGGCTATA